GAGTGGTGCGATATGGCAGGCGAGTGGGATGGCATCGGCGAGATGAGCACGGCGGCCCTGGAGGAAGCGGAGCATGGCAGCGGGTACATCTCGGTGCTGAGAACGAGCCCTGCAGAAGCCACCCCGGCTCCTTCGCTGAAGTATGTAACTACCAGCTCCATGACAACTGCAGCCAAAGGCAAAGAGCTAGTGGTTTTCTTCAGCCTGAGGGTAACCAACATGCACTTTTCCGATGACCTCTTCAACAGGAGCTCTTCAGAATACAAAGCGCTAGAACAACAGTTCATGCAGTTGGTGGGTGAAAATCAACTTGAACCTCATACACAGTAGTCGGGCATGGTTTAAAATGATACATAGTCCCCACCACTAAGTTACATTAATTCTCTAACTGTAAGTCAGAAGCTCCTGTGACCACCCTACCTTGAAGTTTTGGCTGCAGGATGATGGCCTGTTCCAGTTGGCGCAGTCAGCTAATTAGACACTGAAGAGCACAGTCAGACCCTACTACTAAAAGTAACGGGCCCTACTGTCGTTCAGCCTGATAAACTGTGTTTCTAATTGTTTTTTGGGGACTGGGAGGATACACAAACCTAGGATGCTGTCAGGGTCTGAAGCAGCTGATTATGAAGTTGGTTTCATGTGTCAAGAGACATATGAAAGTGTTTACCTGTTCGAGAGGGTCCAGATACCTGCCTTGTATATACTTGCATTTGGCTTTTTCTTATATCCATGTCAACACTATGGTAATGCTGATTACATCTAAGGCTCATATCTTTATGCTCGATTTAAAAATAAGCCTTTAAAAATATATCACAGCTTAGCAAAGGGAATGTGATTAGATACGGATTTTCTCCTTGGGTACAATAGGGCAACAGGTCACTGCAGTAACACGCCTACTGTACTGTGCTCTAACCCACCTGGATTGAACATTTTCAAATAATTAAGCTTGGCTTTTGGGAGAGGTGATTTTTTCTTTAATTCTGGATGAATAAACTCCCCAACTGCTGTGCACTTCATTATTGGGGAAATTACTACCCATCCAACTGCTGTGCACTTCATTATTGGGAAAATTGCTGCCCATCCATTTCAATACATCATTCAGAAAGATGCAAAGGTCCAGAGGAATATAGCAACAAACAGGAAAGGGAATTTGGTGGTGGAGTTTAACACTTGTATTAAAATCATATAAATGTGCTGTAGATATATGTACTTAATAATGAAAAGTAAGAAGAATTGAGAAATGAATACATAAGAGAAATAATTTCTCATAAGAGAAAAAGAGAAATTTCTCATAAGAGAAATGAATACAGGGTAGACATCAACAGCAAGTTAAAATAAAAGCAACTTTCTGTTTTGCAGCTACTTCCATACCTTCAGTCCAACCTTACAGGTTTTAAACAACTTGAAATACTTAACTTCAGGAATGGAAGTGTGATTGTCAACAGTAAAATGAAATTTGCCAGAACAGTGCCATACAACATCACAGAAGCAGTACACTGTGTTTTGGAAGATTTCTGCGATGCTGCAGCCGAACGCCTCAATTTGGAGATTGACAGCTATTCCCTGGACATTGAGCCGGGTAAGATTGCATTATTAATGTTTGGACAAAACCAAAGCCAGGTAGGTAACCTTTTCCATACACCTACCTCTTCAAAGAGATTAGTGCCTCTTTTGGGAAGACTGGCGTTAGCAATATTCTCCCAGCAATACATGGAAATATGAAAAACAGAGATTTTGCAGATTCCACTACCAACAGGCATTTTTGCATACTGTAGTATCTCACGAACAAATTCGTTAATAGGTAGCAAAGCCAAAGGCAGAATGGGCACAGTGTGAGTTGGTCTCCTAAATCATCAGTAACTAACTGCTCAGTCAGTTATTCTGGCACACGGGTAGAAAGACAGGCCAATTTAGGGCATCCATGTTAAGAATAAAGATCTCCAGGATGCCAGCAGAAATGACTCGATAAAACAACAAAAACAGTGCACATGCAATGATGTCTTGGATTATACAGGCCACTCTTCTGAGGAAAATGAGAAGAAATTTTAGGAGCTATCAATCATTCCGAGTTTTTGGTGGTTTAAAGCTCCCTTTTCCACATCTGCATCCAACTGTTCCCTGCTACCTTCAGGGAACAAAAACAACAAAAATATGGATTCAAAAGAAACACAAGGAACAACTTTTGGAGAAAAATGATGAAAACTGCATCAAGAGGATGTGATTCCAGTATAAGGAAATGCTGGGTGGTAGAGGTGCTTTCTGCACTGCATATACAGCAAGTGTTTTGAGAACAAGAGCTAAACACAGGAAATTAGTAACTGCCTAGTAAAAATGCTGGGAAAAGACAGGGTAAAAAGTGCTTATGCAGTTTACATGAGTGACTGAGCAAAATCTTGTATCCAAGAATATAAAACATTGGATTTGATTACTTTTACAATGCTACTGTAAGCGAACCTTAGGGCATCATTATATCATCATTAAAGTGCTATAGAGTTCAAGATAGGTGGAAAATTTCTAGGAATAATTATATTCTACAGAAATTTACTGACCAGCAACATTACTACCGTATAGGTTTCTCTTATAGTTTTCTCCATAGGTATTTAATTTCAGAATCCCTGCTGACTCACTGCAACCTTTCAAATACCATGTGTCTGCGGTCCTTGTTAAACTGCATCAAGTCAGTAAGACTAATGATAATTGTGTTGACACTACTTTAGTGTAGGAATCTTCAAATATTCAGTTGAGTCAGGACTTAGCCTTGTACTGTTTTGTAAAACTGAAGCCTGGATCTGCCTTTGACTTTTAGATTTTACTATTTCATTTATGAACTTAATCTAATTGAAATGGACAAGAAAAGTGCCATTACGTTAGCATGCAGATGCCTTTTTTAATTTTGGTTTTATGTAAAGATCGTGGGCACCTCCAGAGCAAAACATCTATATGCAACTGATAAAACATTTTCTAAACCATCTTCATGTTACATGTCTCAAAGTCACTAAAAGAAGGTGTTTGTAAAGAAAGTTATAAAAATGCAGTATTTTAATTTTCAAATACTGCCATGACAAATTGATGCTGTGCTAAAAAAAGGAACTTCAGCCTAACAGACATCCTCTGCTTTGGCAGTCAGCTTCATTAAATAAAAAATAAATCCAAAAAATTGATAAATGCTAACGCAGAAAAATACAAAAATCTTTCATCACCTCCATATCTGCTGCTTTATTGATGTGGTATTTCAGCCTTAATTCAAGAAGGAGATATTGCAATGAATTTACATGAGACTGTTCTCCCACATAGCTTTGAAGTTTCATGAACAGTAGCAAAATGTGAAAGTATAAAAGTATAAGAAAAAAAACCCTCACCATATTTCCATATAGGTGGGAAAAAAACAACGAAATTGTTAAGTAAATTAATGTAATGCAAACAAATCCCTGTTTATTGTGAAGATAAGAGCCATCTAGTGGTCCGTGGTAAAAGAAAGTTTTAACAAAAAGTAAAACAAAAGGAGAATGTTATTACAAGACCCAGCCTTTTATAAGCGCTGGCTGCAAGGCGCTGGTTGCACTGATTGTAAATAACATAGCAGAATTTTTAAAATATCTGCACGTGTCTTTTTCTTAATCCAAAGAAAGCGAAATCATAGAAAAGATGCCAAGTATGGCAGGCACGTATCCCGAAACTGTGTTAAGGAAAGTGAAACACCATCACTAAGAAAATGACCCAGAGAGAAAACTCTGCAAAATGGGGACACCCAGCCCTGCTTGTGAGAAGGAAACCCGCTGATACCTCTCGCTTCCGAGAGCAGCAGGGCTGTCCAAACAGCCCTGGGAAACGCGCACATGGAGCCTGTTTGTCTCAGGTAGCAGCATCACGCTGCTGTTTCCACTAGTGTGAAGTTAAACTGTGATCATTAAAGCTGGGGAGAGAATTAGAGCAGACATGCAGTCAACACCGCTGTTAATATTTTAATCAATCACCTTGTTGTACAAAGTCTTGTGTTAATCATTTTTCTGTGGGATAAGCAAAAGATGTGTAGCAACAAGTTCCTCTCTTGATTTGCCACCTATTTTTGTTCCATTTGAAATTACATTTTGTAATTCCCCATCAGCAATTTCAATGACCAGGATGAAGCATGGAATAATTATTGTTTTTTTTTTTCTTTTTTTTTTTACATATAGGCAAGGGCTTGCCTGACAATAAAGTTATCTTGTAACTTCATGTAATTCAGTGATGCTCAGTTGTTGTTTTAAGGTTTCTTTATAAATCCATTCATAATCCAGGAGCAAAGCAGATAGAATCACAGAATCACAGAATGCTTAAGGTTGGAAGGGACCTCTAGAGATCATCTAGTCCAACCCCCCTGCACACGCAGGGTCACCTAGAGCACATGGCACAGGACTGCGTCCAAGCGGGTTTGGAAGATCTCCAGAGAAGGAGACTCCACAACCTCTCTGGACAGCCTGTTCCAGATCTCGAATTAACATGCAGAGGGCATAGAGCAAAGAGAGCAAGCATGTTCAAATTGCTTCCCCTAGTCTTAAATTTGAAAGGAAAAAAAAGCAACTAGCTATAGAATTACAGAGGAGTTGAAATGAACAGCTCAGTTTGATTAATTTCCAGCAGTTTAGCATATCCTAATGCATGGCTGAGATTTCCAGCCCTGCTATAAAAGGACGTGATTCTCACTTTTCACAGAAATTAATATAACTGAGTATCTTAGTCCCTGAAATGGCCCTGGAAATGAATTCTCACCCACAGTCATATAGATACTAGGTGCAATATCCAGTATGAATCTTGAAGAGAAATTTTAAGCCCGCACAGGGCTGCAGCTATTACTTCGTTCCACCTTTTCAGCAGGCAGCTGGGCTGAGCTGACTCCAATGATTGGGTCTTTCCTTCCTTACGAGTGAGAAGCAGGGGTGGGAGGGGAGAATTAGACTTGTCTGACAGGGGAGGATGGAACTTCAGGTGTCTCTGGCTTCAGCCCTACTCTGAGCATTGGCAGCTTCATTTTCCCCAAATCTCACAGAGAGATTATGAATCAGAAAAGGGTAAGAGACTTACAGAAATAAGTCTCTTTCTTACTAACAAGCTGATGCCAGTATTTCTAGCTTGCGGTTTTCACAGTATTGTACAATACCAAATAATGTAATTTCCTCTCCTGGTCACGTTCTAAATTAGATTAAGATGATTGCAGCAAGAGCCGCATTTCTTACCCATACATAAGACAGTAGCATAGTGCTGATGAGTATTATAAAGCTAGCACTTTACAGTGAAAAAGGATCAAAATATCCAAAAGTTCTTGTCAGTGAGACAGAAATAAAACCATAAAAGTATTAGTTCTCGTGCTTCCTGTGCCATCTAGAAAAACATACCCTTTTTTGCTGTATTATCAGCATGCTGTCCCTATCAGCGTGCACAGGTAGCCGGCTGGTGTTTTGTGCTGCTCTCTCCAGCCGCACAGAAGCTGCCGAACGCTTCGGGGCAAAGCGTCGAGGCAGCGCTAACGGCCTACCCATCCTTTGCAGCTGACCAGGCAGATCCGTGCAAATTCATGGCCTGCGACGAGTTTTCAGAGTGCGTCACCAACGAGTGGAGCCGGGAGGCCGACTGCCTGTGCAAGCCGGGCTACGCGAGCCGCGACGGCCTCCCCTGCCGCAGCCTGTGCGAGATGGAGCCGCCGCTCTGCGTCAACGGCGGCAAGTGCGAGCTGGTGCCAGGGAGAGGAGCTGTCTGCAGGTAACGCGATGACACCAGCCCGCGCGCTGGGAGAGGGCCCGGGATGGCTGTGGGGTGGAGCAGCCGTGCTCGGCGTGTGCTTCAAGCAGCACAAACCGCCTGCTGACAAGGCACCAGCTCTGGAATCTGACACTGCAGACTACTTGGCTGTATCCTGCCTCAGTACAAACAGGTTCACTATGGATAAATCAATTTTGGCCGATTAATACTTACAGACCGTTGTGATCTAGTCGTTTATTAGAGATTCATTAGAGATGCATCAGAAATTCAGTGGCACTGGCAGAGATGACAGGTATGAAATCATGCATTCCTTTCAGATTCCCAGGTACCTCTTGGACAATATAACACCTTCACATTTCTGATACTGATTAAATAGTATAATTTTAAGAAATTACACTTTTCTGAGTCAAACAAAAAAGGAAATCTATATTATTTTAAGCCCAGCTATGAACACCACTGTGTTGTCACTCCAGGCCAGCCAGTGAAGCACATGAAGGCTGAGACTACTTGCAGGGTTGGAGCTTTCCAGGAAAGAACTAAGGATTAACAGCTGCTCCCAACTGCAAACAGATCCCATAAGGGCATGGAGTGATGATAAGCCAATATTAAGTGCTGCCATGACACCTGAACACATTGATTCTCCTGCAGAAACATCAAGAGCCATTCAAAGGGTATAGACTACTGTTCCAAACTAAACACACTCAGGAAAAGCAGTATCTTCCCGTTTCGGAGATGCCTGGCTTAGATAATGTAATCACCAAACCATCCTCTGGCAGGTCCTGAATGCATCTGTAGAATGGTTCATTTTACAGGCCAGCCATGGACACAGCAGGGCTAAAAGTATTTTAAATAATAAATTAAACTGTGACTTATATCAAATTATAATAATTTAGCATGAGTTTCAATCTGACAACTTGTGCAATCTGCACATCCTAAATTATAACCTACAGTGGAAGCATTAGCTTTAGTCAAGCACTTGTTTTGCTTGTGGATTACTCAGAACCACACTAGGATTCTCTTTCACTAACTTGAAACCCTGTGTTCTCATACATAGTAGGGCAGTCTTCTCCCTTGCCATAAGGGGAGCTCTTCTGAGTACAACTCGTATTTTACATCTTGCTTCTCTAGCTAAACAGAAACAGAACGAGTGGCAAAGACTCATTTACAGAGTAATCCAGGGCACCTTGGAACTTCCAGGGTGCTAGAACACAAACATTGTTTCATTGTGGGGATAGGAATTTGTCAGTGTTCCAGATGCCTGATTTGCTTAAAATCTGGAGGTGGAAAAAGAATATATGAGGGCCTTGTCATTAACAGTAACATTTATGAATCTAAGAATATTTTGTTTCTTCTATCATACCATGCTTATATTTAATTAGAGATTTTCCTTTATTTTCAGTTGAGGTTCTCTGTATTTTCTGCACTGAAGTTCTGTATATTTTCTCTTCCTCTCCATGTTTTAGATGTCCTGTACGCAGACACAAGCTTTACCAAGGAGAGCGCTGTGCCAAATTTGCTCCAGAACCCACACAGCCCTTCATTTTTAAACCTGTCATTTTTGGCTTACTAAGCCTTGTTTTTCTTTTCATCATTTTAATTTTTAAGTTAAGAAGAAAACGCAAAAGAAACTCTAATTTGGAGTAAGCCGCTCATGATCTTTTTCTTCACACTTTTAAATTTTGCTTTTTTTTCCTTTATAATTTAAAGTCTTACATAAACAAAAATGTTCTGCATTGTAGAAGTCCTACCTTCAGCAGCTGCAATACAGAAAATGCAGTAAGAATTAATCCTGCTTTTGAACACGACGAGCCCGTAACTAGCTTTTCTCATACGGCCTGTAGCGTAAGTGCTCGTGTCAGTTCTTCAGAAATCACTGATCCAGGAGTATTACACACATTTGAAAACACAATTCAGTGTGAAGGTAAAATGCTTGTAAATCCTTTCCTTGCCCCTCAGCAAACAGCCCCACCTCACATAACAGGTCCATTTTCATTTATTAACTTTACAACTAAAATTTGACTTTAACCTCTTGCTTGGCAATCTTAGAACTAAAAATACTAATTCATATGTTTACTTTTTACAGTTACTGCTGTGTAGGTTTCCTAACAGAATTGTAGGACTGCCTTTGTTACAGTTCTTCTGCATGGCTTTGATGGTCCAACCTGTCAGTGCGGTGTTACTGACTCTGTGAAGTAATTTTGTACATTTCTTTTTTAAACTGTTGCAGGTCACCAGACCAGTTTACAGAGCCAAGAGTAACACGCTGAAATTCTGAAATTCTGCAATTTGAGCATCAGCCAGACACAACAAGGTTTGTCACTATTTACAAGACCTTAAGTTCTGTTGAGTTTCCTATTTAGAGATATTACCACGAAGCCTTTTGTTGCGCTAGCTCCAAACTCTATTTGCAACCGAAAAAAGAACGTGGGGTGTGAATTTGTTTTCATTCATTTCATTTCATTCTGTGATTCTATGTTGTTTCAAGTGTGGGATTCTCAGACTTTTCTTTTTGCGGGGGGAAGGTGAGAAGGAAAGAGGGAGAAAAGTCAAATGGAGCATTTCTCTTATATTGCCAGCCTGCCTTAGTTGTGCTGTGTTTGAGCTGCTCCCTCAGAAGCTGGGCAAAAGGCTTTTTTCTTGCCCTCTGCCTTGTTCTGAGTCACTGCCTGGCTAGAACAAAAAGGGGTTCCTAGAGCTGTTATCCCATATCCCTACGGGCCTGCCCACCTCTAGGTGCAGGCCCTGGGAGACAGGGTATGGGCTTCCAAACTGGCTGGAGCCAGTACAGCCCTGTATAGGCAAATAAGGGAGCAGGTGAATTAGAGCATAGAGAGGAATTTATTTCCACTGATCTTGACCCAGGGGATTCCTGCCGGGATCTGGTCTCTTGGGGGTGCTTCAGGTGAGAGTTCAGGCTGGGGTGACAAGATGGGGGCTAGGAACAAGATGAAGAGATTTAGAAGTCAGCAAGGAAAAGCTGGTCAGGAGAGCTTGAGACTGAACTGGCTTCTCTCCCAATAAAACTTCACTTTTATACCAGCAAAACTATGACTTTCTAAAGCACTAAGAACCTTGGGAGAAAAATAAATTAGCACAACATCTGTGGGAAAAAATTGTGCTGTATTAACTGCCAGAAGTGCATAGAGAAAGCTCTTCACAAGATCTCCTTAAGGAAATACTGAAAACTAAGAGCAACAGTTTCAAAACCTAGTCAGGAAATTTCTCTGGGCCCGGATTGTCATGGCAGTGAATTTTCAGGAGGAGTTGGATGTCTAGAACTCCTAAACCAAGTTGCATGCATCAGCCTGAATATTTAAAGTGATTTTGATTTTCTTTTCCAAAGTGTAAATAACACCTTACTGTAGTCAAGGTGTCCTAAAAGGTAGGTACGAGTCTGATTTTACAAAAGAATATATGAAAATAAGCCTAGAATTCTCATAGAAACTAAAAGAACTTTTAACCCCTTCCAAAGCATGAAAAATGTTTCCTCTTCTGTTATAGGGCCACTACGTGAATTCCAAGTTAGTTTTTAGAAAACAAAAAAAGACTATACCCAGTTAGTCATTCCAGAATTAAGAGGAAGCATCTTCCATATCCATGTGCAGAACTTGCTCTTCCTTCTCTGTGAGCTCAGTTGAAAGCACATGTCAAACAGTTAAACCACAGGCTACAGGATTAGGTCTCTGGGAACATTCTGTATCTTCCTCGGCAAGTAGCGTATAACGGGAAGAATAAAACAAACACGGGAGTGTCTTTCTTTGAGCCAAAGCAATACGTGACAATTAATCTGTGTGAACATGTGAATCCTGACAGAGACATAAGGCAAGAAAAAAAACACCACATCTGAGAAGGCAAAAAGTCAGGCAAACTCAAGTTCTCTACAGATGATCCTGTTGGTCCGATTCTCTGCTGCTTCAGTCACACACATGCACCTTATGCTCTTTCGAGCTTAGGCAAAATGCAATGCTTATCAGGAGAGAAAGGAAATTTTTTGTTTAAAAAGTATTTTACCACCACTGTGCTGTAGAACCACTATTCAGAGAAAGGGGTGCTAAAATAGAAAACAGACTACGTTCAGGTGTGACAAGTCTATGACAAGTTGCCTGGAAAGTCATCCTTTTCAGTCCATCTACTGGATGCTATTTTGTGTGTTATCTGTTTGTGCTTGCAAACGGTATTTAGAGTGACTAGGCTTCTTTATCAAAACCTTATTTGGCAAGACTCGGTAAGGAATATCCCACTAGTATCAGAGTTGCACACACAGTCACAGGGGAAAGACGATGTAAAAGAGCATTCGGGAGGGGAAGTGCTGTCTTCTCAGTTCAGTTTTACAGGTGCATGCTGCAGTGCCATGGTGTTTCTGTATTATTACTGATTTCTAATTACTTTATGGGCAAATATATGCCCTTCAAATTATGATGAAATGGGCAATAGTTGTTTGTTATTTTGGGTAGAAACATAGCACTCATAGCAGACAGGAAAAATAATAATTGTACTGTAAACTCAGTGACTTGTGTAAAAACAAGTATGTAAAATAGCTTCAAGAATAGAATTAACTCTAACTCTGTTAGAATGAACTGGAAATTGCCTATTAACATCAGATTAGTAATACATTTTCAAATGCAAAAAGGCTTTTTAAATGTCTTAAGAGAGTTTCCTTTACAGGTGTTCATAAAAAGGATGCCTGCATTATTCAAGACGGGACCTTACGCATGAGAAAATTCAAGGATTACTACAGATTCACAATTTGAGAGAGAAAAATAAGTATATATGAAACACATTGTTTCATTAAAGGAAAACTACACCTAATTGGCCATGTTTAAAATTTTCCAGTTACCAATCATCAATGTTGAGACACATGCATTAAGCATACAGTGCTTACATATTTTAATTGTATTTTTATTTAAAATCCTAGTGCTAGAAACAGATCTTTCTGAAAAGTGACAATCTTTGCAATTTTGTATGTCACAGTTTGGTGAAGGTGTAGATGAAAGTTTAAAGCAGTTCCACATCATTTTATTAACATTCTATTAACTGCTACACTCACTAAAGCAGCACAAGCGTCAAGCATTGAAACAAGAGTTGTCATTAGCAAGGGTCATTTTTAATGACCAAATGAGCCCCATTAGAAGCATTTGGGAACTTTTCATTCTCACCTTACAAAACTCACATCACAAAACTTACAAATCACAAATTGGTTGGGGTTTTAGCGAGTGTGTGAGTGAATGTGTAGTTGTTCAGATGGCTTCTCTGAGCATCGCTATTAATTTCCTGTTAACATTGTGTTTGTGTGTGTGCGTGTGTATGCATATAAATATATGCACATATTATGCATATAAATATATGCATATATATATATACATACACGCACATTCCTCCCCACACACACACACTTCACTGCTTAAGTGCTGGTGATAAACTCTCTTAGCCCAAGAGTTCACACTTCTTGCAGAGGCAAAATACCTGCAATTTTCTTTATTTAAAGGTAAGAGATTTGTATGCACAGCCACCCACCCAGCACCAAGCTGATTACATATTCACACAGAGGTATGCTGAGTTGTAGGCGTGCATACACACCAAGAGACTTGAGAGATTACTATTATTTTTTGTAGAAGAAATCCCAGCAGACAATCGGTGGCCATTAAGCACTTCATAGGCTTAGCAGTTGGTGCTCAGTGGATGCAGCTTTAAGCCTGAGCGTTCCTGTTCCCTGCATCTCTTTCGTGAGCAGATGCGTGTTGCGCGGGGGCACTGCTTGCTGCAGAGCAGCGCTTGGATTCACGGTTCCAACGAGGTCCCACCGAGCTCACGGCTGCAGGGGTCGAACTGCAGCATTCAGACCCCAACCCTGCATGAACATGGCACTGCAGCCTGTCTCCGCAACGGCTCCTTTTCACTTTTAACACCTAGCCCTGCACAAACAGCTGGGCAAACACCGGGCTCTGGTCTGCCGTCCCGCCTGCCCTCAGGAGAGCTGCTTCTGAACCCCAGACCAGCAACTGCACAGATTTGCCTGCAGAACCAACAGAACTGGTCAGTGTGCACAAGTGAACGCAAGTCACCATGAAACCAAGGCTGAAGTTCCACAACTAAAATATTTTTGATATATTTAACTAAGAAATATGAAAAAAACAGAAACTGCAGATGCAGTCTTACCTAGTAACACTTCAGAGTAGAGCCTCACTTTAAAATTACTTCTTGCAGAGCACTGAGAGTCCTCCCTGCCAAGAAACGTTAGCTCGTGTAAGTCAGGAATGCTGAAAGCATTCTCTCATTTCCCTTATAACTGTATATTCTCTATGTGCTTAGCGTATTCTCATTAATACCAGTTTGCATTAGTCAAGTAAAAACAGTAATTTTTAAATGTGTATTTTAATAATGATTATTCATGACTATTTATCATGCCCAACTATTAATTACCAAATATATTTGCTGGATGTAAGCCTTTTGTATTTCAATAAAATATAATAAAACTATCTACTTGAAAATTTCACAGGTTATTAAATTAGTATTTAATCTCATACTAAAAAAAAAAAAACACTATCTGAAAGTTGGTGGAAATAAAGATCATAAAGAAAATGATAGAGAACTAGGTGCCTGAATTTCTTTAATGAACTGAAATTTGAAAAAGATATCACTCTGATTTGCCCGTTGAAATAGTAAAGTTTCAGACTAAAACATTTTTTGAAGAAAAAAAACATTTTTTGCACCTTATAAGCTCTAAGGATCGTAAGTAGTTTCACTAGCCAGACTGTCATAAATCCAGAATGAAAGAAGCAGTAACAGCCTACCAGATGATAAATAAGCTGGACAGCAGAAAAGTCTCATGGTGACAGTGAAAATAAAATAAAAAGAATTTTTAAAAAATCCTGATACGAGACTAAGCTAACTTTAGAAATTCTTAATATCAGAATGTTGCTTCACAGGGACACTTACCTTAGAAACTGAAGTCAAAATCTTTGCATAGAATAGCTTTAAGCACCATAGACACCTGAGAAAAAGGCAGCACAACCATTTCCTTTTCCTTCCCATAACTTAATAAACTCTTACTTACAGCACTTTAAATGCTTAAAGACAAACTGCCCAGAGAAAAGCAGCAGAGATTTCAACATGGAATGTGTTTATTTATTGCTTTTTTAAATTTTCAGTACATTATTAGGAGGTCATTTAAATACTTCAAAAAATATGTTGGAAAAAAAAAAAGGATTTAACTAGAAAAGAAAATCTCATCAGTGGATGAAAGATGCGTATTTAATGACCTTATGGTCTTTGAAGTAACATTCTTTAGAACATTTATATTCTTAGGTCACCAACTCAGGAATGTAACACAGGCCCATGATTTCTCTTCCTCTCTTGTTTTCTGGAGTGTTTTACACAGAAGAACATAGCAGCTACCACGGAGAGCTTCGCGGAGAAACACAGGGAAATGTTGCTTTTATAAACCAAACACACAGAAGCAAGACAAGATATTTACCTCAGCATTTTGCTTTAAAATTAAATTGCTCTCTACAACCATAGCTCAAAAGGACTTTAGAGAACATGATAAACCTACAGGCCATGTTATTTTTTTTCCAAACTCAACCCCCAGCATCACCCTACCTGAGGCAGCACAAGGGGCAATGGAGACTCTAGGCAGCTGACTACTGCTTCACATAAAAATATCATTCTGAAATGCACTGAAAATTAACTGTATTGCAGAAAAAGATCAGCCATCAGCAACACTATGAAAAGAGGCTGCTTTTAAAGGATTGGAAAAAGGCCTACTGCTGCACAGACCTCAGCACCCTGGTTTTTGGAAAGAGCCTTTTGCTCGCCTTGGTCACGTGCGCAATCTCCTGCGCAAACATCAGCCACCACGTTTCTCTCCCACTACTTCAATGTCAAAGTTATTTTCCTGATAACACCAAGTTGTCAGTCACTTAAGTTACCCTCCAAAACTTCTATACACCATTCTGTAAAACAAAATTTCCTCTTGATGTCTACCTGCTGGTAACTTACCATGAAAAACCAGTCTGTACCAAGGAAATACTGACATAATCAATGCAGTAGACTGGACTTCTTTTTGTAGATTCCCCGCAAGTGCACACAACAGACTGCGTGTGAGTGAATGTGGTAAGCAAGCCAAGACCTTAAATGCAGATAAAAACAAACGGGGTGAAGCTCCTCAGCTCTATCAGTTCAGTGCTTTTCTTCCTTATGTGCAACATATACGGCCATAGTTTCTTGCAGTGCCAATATTTAAAAAAAAATTTACAGAGAAAAGACCAGAAGCTCCAGGACTTGGGTTCTAATTCAGTAACACAAAGCAGTGATGAAGCTGCACACACAGCCCCTGTAAACCCATGCAGCATCGCACAGGTCTGTATACCAGCCCGCAGCCTGATGCCACATCCTTCACCTTACAGCCCCAAATTACTGCTTCAGTGAAGAGCCCACATGGGGTTACAAGGAAAATGTCTTTTCTAGGCTGCAATCACTGTCCGTGCAGCGATACTGACTCTGAAAACACACAGTTCAGGAAAGCCACAACTCCCTGTATACAGAGTGAGTGCATTACTCAATTGTGTTCATATATGAAGTATTGTGTACTTATGTATATATGTAAAGGAGTGCAACTTTTAACAACAGGCAGACTGTGGCATGCAGGCACGATCTAAGGTCAGTAAGAATATCTCCATCAACAGCTTTCTCTGACTGTGCTACAGAACTGTTACCTCTGGAAAGTTAATAATAAAGTATACATGTGTATTCAAAAACTAAAGTTTCCAAAAGGTTTCAAACTGAGAGGAAATGAGTTAGTGTCAGTAAACTTTGTAACTCTGTAGAACCAAACTTTGTTTTTTACTTAGGTTGAATATTTAATTGGATATTAAGCTACTTATTTTATATTTCAATCCTATTGGAAAGATAATAATTATGGTATTTAATTTGTTGAAATATGGCCAGCATGGTGAAACACCCATGTAAGTGAATGAGTCTTAAATATGAAACTAATAATTCCTATTCACAAAAAATCTTACTGATAAATAAGGGAACTGTTACAAACTATGAAACCTGACAGAGGATATTAGGTAAAGATCAATGTCTGAATCACTGATATTCCAGTATACTAAAAATTGTAGCTACTTCAATCAGCATAGAGCATGTAGATGGTGCATTATGTTATTGGCCGGATTTTTATACAGTCTAAGAGAAGATGCAGACTTTGTGCATCTCATTAAAAGGATGGATGAGGCTCAGACCTCAACATTCAGTTCTTATACTATCACCAAAAAACTAAACATACTTCCCTTATGCTATCCTTTATGTTACATGCCTCCAGATATAAACCTTGGACAATTTTGCGTAATATATTTAAATTACACTACCCGGAAAAATGAACCATCCAAGAATTCCTAATGGAGATTTATTTAAAAAAAAAATCTAGTCGAAATCTGTACTTAAAAAAAAAAAAAAAGAAAAAAAAAGAAAAATGTACAGAAAAACATTTATCTTTAACCAAGACAGAGGATGCATTTAAGCAGGAATTCATGAGTCTCTAGGAGAATTTCCCATCAGTTTCTGAAAAAGTCGGTAAATACAGACATAAGACAGTTTTCAAATCAGGACATAAAATGTCTCAGATCATAAAAAAAGGTATACTCCAACTTCTCAGGAACAGAAGTCAAAGCTAAGGCCTCACAATTCCAGTTATGAGATACAATGTATCCTCTTTACTAGGCCACCACTTAGAGCCAGCTATTGAGAGTGTTAGAGAGGAATTTTTCAAAAAGGTGGTTGCAATGCAGTTTTCTGTACTACGTGCCCAAAGTACAGCAAGATGACTTGCAGGCAGTAAAGAGCTACAACCGAAACTCCTGAAGATAATGGAACTTATAAACAGACTACAACAAACTGCAATGACCGAAACTTCTGCAAGAGCCACATAGCTAGTAAGCTCACTACACAAATTAAACCTCATAAAGTACAAATTATCAAGCCACGTGATTAAGAAAACCTGTTCACTTTATATTAGACATCTCTAGCAGGATTACAGAAGGTCTAGGCCCCTGCCGTGCAGGGGAGCGCTTCCCTTTGTGTCGCGGGCCGGGCGGCGCCTATTTCAGGAGGTTCTGCAGCATGGCCGTGGCGTACGTGGGCCGAGCCTGTCTGCTCTCGATGGCCTTCTGAAGGTACTGGATTCCTCCGCAGCGCTCCCAGATCTCTTCAAACTGTCTCGGCAAAATCTCAGCCCCTCGCTTTCGAGTTAGGCCAGTCTCTTCAAGGTTAAGCTCACACATCTCTATATCATCCTTACCTGAAATGATTAAGGAAGAAAAAGAACACACAGATGAGGCTTTTGCATTATTTGAAGACGCCATTAACAAAGATTAGATCTTCACTTTGTTTCCTCTCTCAAGCTGTAGTTTGTTAGTAGATTTTCTAGGAGGAAAACAGGCCTCAGACAGATTTTTATACAGAGCGATGACGTTAACAGATGTTTTCAGAATAAACTAATATGATTTCATCTGGCAAAACTGCTTAAAAAGTAAGGAAAAGGAAGCAAAAGGGAGACGCCAAAAATCACTGTCCTGAGACATTCTCCTGAAATCCACTATATTTCTCTTACATATGCCACTGAACTGTTGTAATTACCATTGAATTTGTTTAAATGTCCACAAAAATATACCTTTGCCAGGATTCTGAACCTGTCAGACTCCTGTACCAAACAAACTTATTGTAGCCCTCGTGGAGTGTGATGAGATGAGAGCACTGTTGTTTCATTTGCAATAGGGGAACCACTGAGTGAGGCACTCACAATAGCAACCAAGTCCTACTTTTGCTTATGGCCTTTGACACTACGCAGACAGAAGATGGTGCAAGTGCTTCTATTAAAAATAATCAGTAGAAAGACAGGGCACTCCTGTAGTTACATAATCGTTCTGTGAAGCTAACAATTTGTAGCCTTTTTTCTGTTAAGCTAAACACAACTTTTTATTTTCATGCTGTCTCCAATTCAGTGCATAACCTGAGGATGGTTAATAATCAAACAATCCACACCTAAATTCCACACTTCAAGATTTCCTGGGTTAAAGTACGTGCACGAGTGCAACACATGTGACCAGTTACACCTCCAAACGATCTTATCACCATTTAGCCACCACCCATGCCAGGCCCAAATCATCAGTTTCTGTCATTGAAAAGAAAGAAAAAAGCTGAAAAACGCTGAAGAAATAAGAGAAAAAAACATAAGATATGACTTAGGGATCTTGTATCATTCTCCTCCTCCTTCTAAAATGTCTTAACATTTCCTGCACTTAAAATCTGCTTTCGATACCAACCAGCTACAAGGAGAATGGGTGCCTTGTCAGGATGCAGCTCCATTTGGCGGGCGATCCAGGGCCCGTCGAAGTGCGCGTACCACCAGCCCTTCTTCTTGTTCTGGGGGTCCTTGTACTGGTCCATGGGACGGATGAAAGGGATACGGAAGTACCGCTGCTGCCTGTTAAGTTCAATCTCCTGTTGCCTCGCTGGTAGCTGGGCTGCTGGGTTCTGCTGAGCTGTTATACAAAAGAGCAAACAACAAAAAGTTGCTTAATTAATCAGCAGAGACAAAGTGAAACTCTCCCAAGGTACAAAGTCATCCAAAAGTCTCAAAGCATCCCAATCTCATCCTTCTAATCACTACAACTACAATGCTGGTGGAAAAATGCTCACATTGAACTGCTGTTCCTACCTGTAATACCAGACTTCTCCCTGGTCTCAAGTTCACTGAGACAAAACAAGGTGAATGAAGTATTGCATTCTGCTTTAAAACAATATTAAGGTGTAACTTTCTACATTTAATTCTTTATCAACCAGAAATATTAGTCAATAATTGGTCTAGTTCACTCCATTTCTTTGTGAAACAAGGTCGCTGTGTAAAGAAACAGTTTTAGATACAAAACAAAAACAAAAGCAAAGTCTTTAAAGAAAGATTTTTTTGACAGTCAACACAATTATGTTACTAGTTAAACTGTTAATAGAAACGTTAACACGTTCTGCTTACTCCAAAACAACAATCAAAAATAACTTTCTGTCTTGATTTCTGTGTACCATATTCTGCCTGTTCTCTTCTTTTTTAAACGTGTATATCTCAGACCATTAAGATCCACTGACCAAACCTCTACAGGAGACCCGAGCCCTTCATAGCTATTTTTGGTAGAACATTTCCCATAAGCATTTTTGGACTGTCACAGAATCCCACAGATTTACTTCAAACTTTGCAGAGAAAAGAGACACTTGCTGTTCAAGAAATGCAAATAACTCTGTGTTACTTAGCTCATCAAATTATCAACCTTCTTAGTTGCAAACATGGTGTTAGAATCAATTTTGAATAGAAAATGCTTTTGAGTGAGATTCTTTCCTTTACGACCTGCCTGCAAAAGCTTATCAAAGTGATCTTGTTTTAGTGGTTTACAATAGCAGTATTTATATTTCAGTGCCTTAGAATGAAGGTAATAAAACGAATTCCTTTTTGCTAGCTGTCTATTAAGTAACAAAAAAAACTTTGGAGTTAAAATCAATGAAATGAAAAATGACAATCACTTTTAATAATGTGTTTTTACATTCATGAACAAGACTAATACACTAGAAGTGTCCCTTGAAATTGCTTTTACTCACACTCATGAAAAAGTAGATTTCTAAAGCTGAAAAGTAGCATCTTAAAAATACATATTATACCCTCAAACTATTTTTTCATGTCCATGTAAATACAAGGATGAAAATGAAACAGATTTTTGTATCAGATACTACTTTTATTCAGCAGCTCTGAGAAAGTATGTTTTATATGAAAATGTATTTTATGGAGACATAATCTATAATTGCAGAAATTAATTTTATTTCTGCAAATTGAACATCTATCACAGCACAGCAGTGCTTTAATACTAACAAAACCTTTTTGCACTGCACTGGCAATTGCCAAGACTTATTTCTACTCCTGCGCACAAATACACTCGAGAGGAAATCTAGAAGCTGGGAGCACTAAGCAGCCAACGGAGCCGCTACTTCTCAGTGCTAAGGAAGTCTATCTCTTTATTCGAAAAGAAACCGTCAGCTGAACGTTAGTCTGTGTGCTAGGAAAACAGCTGTTATATTGATTCCAGAGTTTTGCTACAACAAGTAAGCTTGTGTAGTTAGAATTAGAAGAGCATTTAATTGGCATGAGGGAGATGGGTGCTTTTTCCTTCAAACAACCTGTATTAGAAGGTTATATCATTCTCCTGTCCCATGACTGCTCAGATGGACAGGATCTCTTGAAAATACAGGAAAATACACTAGAGTAACATATAATCACCATCTGTTGAATATAATTAAAATAGTAACATAGCATTCTATTTTAACAATTTATTTCTAGGTACATGTGTAGCAAAACACTAGATAAATGAAGTTAGTACAGAGCTTTTGAGAGTTCCTATTCTTCAAAGTTAGCTTAAAAAGCCATGGCTTAAAAGCCATTCCCCAACTTACTTGAGCTGTTCAAAAATGGCGCAAAATCTGCAAACAAATATCACATGTTGAACAAAATATAAAAGCACTGATCCTGTTTAAAGTTATACTTTCATTATCTCAATTATTTTCACCAATGCTGATCACACACAAATTGAAATTCTAGTTAAAAATGAAATTAAGCTGTTGAGCTAATTATTATTTATTTTTGAATAAAAAGCCTCCTTTCTCATCTTTCGTAGATTTCCAACTGCTTCTAATACCATCAGGATTTACTTTTAAAAATTACTATGCAATCATTCACAAAGCCTGTTACAAAAAACTGACCTGTAAAACAAGCACAGATTGTTGTAATCAATCTATTAGCTACTTAACAGAGTAGTATCAAATTCTTATATTTCTATTAATAAATGAAAGACTAACTTCTAGGTCTTTATTCATATCAAATTTACTCAATCTAATAACGATCCACAAGCCAAAGCCAGTCCTTAGCTCTTAAATTGAAAAAAAAAATAGATTTTAAACAATGGACAGTTGTAAAAATATATGATATTAATGTTAAAAGATAGAAAGAAGAAGCTACCTTATTTGAAGCATATATTTGCCTGTATCTGGGCAAAAGAATTCTATCTTGTATACCTAAGAAATCAGATTTTTTTCCCCACTATTTTCTAGGATAATTATAATAAGCAGAAGTAAAGTACTCATGTAGCATAGTTACACACAACAGAAAGAATTCTCTTTGACATTAGTGATAGTCTGTAAAAGTCACTATCAGTAGGTTATTATATTCTTCTTGTCATCTGCAGTGCTCTAGCTTTCCTTTCAAGCAAAGTTTAAAAAATACAACAAAAAATATGCTGAAAAGAATGCTATAAATTTGTCCTTGAATCAAGTATGTTGAAAGCATGGATACTGCAACTGTTATTTGTACAATTCCAAGCACATTATGTAAATTTTTCCCATTACCAATAAAGTACCTTATAGTTTGTGAATATTTTAACGTGGCTCTGGGTGGAATGTAGGAGCTCAAATTCAAAAGGACTTACAGCTTTGCAGAAGCACTTGAAAAGCCTCTTCCCACTGTTTCAGTCCTCAGTTTTCTAAGCACTTAAAGCCACATTACTTGGCCTGGCCATGAGGGCCCTGTCTTTCGCTAAGATCTTTTCCACACTTAGGCTGTACAAGGGTCTAAGCCTTCCCACTACACAGGAGCAAGAAAGTTCCTTCTCCAAAGTGCCCTGAGAAGGTCAGCTCTCAAGTGATGCTCAGGCAACTGAGTAAGGGGAAGGAGAGACTTCTGTAGAATAAGTGAGAGAGGGAGCAAGTGGGACACCTGGGATCCGCAGCCCTGGTTGTCCCAAGACAGCAGCCTAAGCCAAATGTAACAGGACTATGGGCACAGCATCCTCCCCGCTGCCTCCTCTGTATCTTCCCTCTCTGCAGCCAGGATCACAAGAGTTGTGGTCCAGAAGACAGCAGGGAAGACTGAGCTGTATGATTACACGTGTTCACTGCTATTCTGTTCATTTCTCAGATTCCTTTTATAGCAGATCATCACTGGACTAGGAAAAAGAAGAAAGGCAACAACCCATCCTGCAAGTATTCCTTCAGACACAGGGCACCTCATTTTCAGATCTAGCAGTGGTAAATGTAGTAACTTCTGCACCTTCTTGTTGAATATGAAAGGCAATCAGTTATTCTAATTAGTGCACTATTTTGAAGCTCACAATGAAAGCTTACAATAAGCTTTTACAATTCCACAATTATTACAATAATATAAAAGCAAGGACCACACAAAATTTGCAAGCCCATAATCAGAAGTTGCAATATCAGTGTTTATAGAATTAAAAAAGGAGAAGGTCACCTGAAATATAACATGCTTAGAGCAATTAAGTAAGAGTATGATTAGCTGCTTAGAAAAATAACATTGTATCTTAAAAAAGCATAAAGCATGAGAAAGAAACCCTCACTAAGGCCTTTGTTTGTCTGGACCCCAAATGTATCTGGATGAATCATGCTCTAACCTTTTCAAAATATTTACCTTAATTCAACATAAAAATATTTTAAGCAAACAAGACATTTCTTTAACATAACAAGAAAAACAATGTTAATTCTAAAAATGTTTATCTGGAATATTTTACCCAAAGTTGTTATAAATATAAAATTCTCTCTCCTTACCATATTCTGTGACTGATTTGGGGGCACGCTGTTCCGTTTCCGCATTGCGTTTCTTGTTCTTGGATTTCCAAGCATGATATACCTTCAACCGCCTGTGAAACTCTTCTCTGCAAGCTGCCAACAGTTCAATGTCTGTCTCAACAGGAGATGGAAGGTAGGAGTCAGAAAAATCAGAAAATAAAATTATTGAATGCTTTTCATTAATAGGTACATGCTTTTACATCAAGCTGTAAAACAAGGAAATTAAAATTTTGCGAAATATAGCTTTTATACACAGGTTGCTAAAAGCTCAGTCTATTTCCACAGCCAAGAGTAGTTTCTTAAATGCTTTCTAATACAGATTTTTATCACTAGCTAGTAATATTATATTAAGCATAAAGATATGATTCTTTGCAGTATCTGGGCCTGGATTTTATAGCTCAAAGTCCCTTGGAGTGCTATGCCTTTTTCCCCTTTCGAGGAACAACAGGGAGGATTTGGAGCTATCTTTCCAAGAAGTTAATCAACTGCTTGCAGTTAGAATCAGGATAAAAAATAGTTACCTTACAATAATGGAATGGTTCATATTAGTTTCTACATTTATAAAATGGGTGGGGGGGAGGAAGTAATTAACATAATAACTGTTAGCATCCCAAATTAAGAAATTTGGAAAATTACTGAAAGAATAAGCTAAATATCCAAGATAAAATATTTTATATATGCTTTAGCTGACACTTTTTCTTTCCCATGATTTGATGGCAGCATGATATGACAGTAGGAAGTTTGTCAGAACCTTCAAGCTTTAGATAAAGCATTTTCAGACTTACACACTTAAAACTGAACCAATATCGTTAAGAAAACACAGCCTACATTTTTTACAACATACTTTTCCTCCAGAGAGGAAGAAAACTTACCACAGGATGTATTGATTGTATCACGTAGCTCTGCATATTTCCACTTACTGAGATCATGCTTCTTAGTACCAGCAGCAGCTTTTGTGGCTTGAACTAAAGGACCCCTACAATTGTTTAAAAAAAATTTTTTTTGAAGGTCAGAAGAAGAAACTTTACAATAGGAGGAACAGATTTCATGACAGATACAGCCCCATGCTTACAACTGCAAAAATCGGCAACAGAAGGACTGAATTCAACGGCAAAGTACCAAATTATTTTTAATACTTCCAAAAAATTAAGGAAAAAATGAAGTATCTTTTAGGACCAAAAATATTCTCTATGAAAAATTTGATCAGGTGCCAATAAATTAGAAGGAATTGTCCATAATAGTTAATGTAAGAGGACTCATATTCTACATTTTACCCTAACCCACGGTGATGCGCATTATTATTGCTAAGAGTCCAGAAACAGCATAGTGCTAATGAAGAGCTGCCATTCACGACTTCAGTTCCATTAAAAAACAGAGGTGGGGAAAAAGAGTTTCTGAGGTAGATGAGGAGGGAGGAAAAGGTGTTTCCTCTGTTGTTTAACAACTGGATTAGAACAAATCTTTGTTCCAACACTAGAGAAAATATTCTGTGCCTCTTAATTCTCATTTGGGAAAAGAAAATGAATTGATTCTAATCAATGTCACAGCATCTGCCTGAGAAGAGCAGCAGCTCCTCTGTTGAGGAAAAAGAGAGACCATTCTCTGAAGAAAGCAGACTAATATAAAAGTGACCCACCCAGGAAGCGCATTTCTCAAAGGCAAAAGCTATTAATTACATAAAAACGTGCAAGATTGTTAACTGCAAATACAAACTATAACTATCTATTTTCTTTAAAAGTCCAATTAAGAAATATACATTACATGTACACGTATAAAGATGATCCTGACAAAAATACTTTCATTTGTTACTGGATAAGAGTTAAAGGACTGAGATAGGAGGCAGACTATCTTTCAGTCTCTGAGAGGATTTGTTCCACAGGACAGACAAGATCCTTAACAAGGGAGTATAATAGTTGCTACGATGGGCCACATTAACAACTCAGGACAATGTGAGACAGAAGAAAACAGCTCTTTTCAGTTAAATGATGTTTTTATAGTAATATCTTTGTGGGACTATAACATTTTTACAGTGTTCAAAATGATATTCAATGGATTATAAAGTTTATAAACTCTAAAGGTCTCTCAAAAGAGACTATATGGACAGGATGTAATAGAAAACACGCTTTCTATTGCAGAATGTCTCTAGGTAGATACAACAGTGCTGAAAGCAGAGATAATACAGCAAATGCACACCATATCCAAGTTGCACGGAATAAATCTGTTTAACCATCTGTTTAACAAAATGCACTTCTTAACAGCAACTGAACCCTCTCCTCCAACGTAATTAACAGCACAGAATCTCACTGTTTATTGCAACATCAGTTTAACTATGTCTACTCATACTACTAATCTGAATTAACGTGCAGCTTCCAGTTATGTACTATACACAAGAAGGCTACCAAAAATAATTTATTTGCCTTTTAATCAATACATAGCTCAGTGACAGTAAATTCTCCCTACTCAGGGCACTACACACAACAAAAACATTTGAGAGAGAATATCTTCACAACATATACATATTTCAATATTTTGTTACAAAGAACATGCCTGTAGGACATTAAAGGATTCCTGCTAAATGTAATTTCCGCTACCTGGTGTCTAACCTTCTTGAATCTTAATTTGACAAATCCTGAGGATTTTCCTTATTTAGCAACACTCCCACTGTTCTAAGAGTTGTCTATAGAATTTGGAGGAGCTGAACGAGGCCATATGATCTCCGGTTAAACTAGTAATCTTTAAGAATGTTAATCCAATTGACTGGCTTAGCCTTTCCATTACAGTACGACTCATGACTTTAAGCATAGGAGCCTCTCAGCCAGTCTTCACTGCTCAGTGTGACAGTAGCAGCCATGCATCGAAAAGAGGGCAAGTTCAAATGTAAAAAAATCAATCTCCAGTCAAAAATTTGCAGTCTATGGACAGTAACAATTCTTAGTGAAATAAACACGCACTGTATTTTCTACTGAAACACAGAGCCTGGAAAACAGGTTTTGCTTGTTTGTTTTGTGGGTTTTCTTTTTTGTTTTTTTGTTTGTTTGTTTGTTTGTTTGCATATTAAGACTTGACCAGTGCCACTGGAAATATGTCAATATATGTGATCTGGACATCTAAATGGTTCCAAATTAACTGCATACAACATTCTTCATACCCATTTCTAAAATACTGCTACAATGAACAAATTTAGTTAACAGCTGTGTTCACGATTAGCAGTATTAGAACTAGAAAACACATCAGCCACGAGAGATGGATGATCTTGAGACTATACACACAGCACAGTGGCTTGTTTAAAAGAGGATTTGGTTTTAAAAACTCAAAACAATTTGAGTTTCCAAGTAAATTTCAGACAACAAATGTCAAAAGGCTTCCTTTGTCCTCTGCTTACAGAAAGCATCTTCTAAGTACTCACCTAAAGTAGGACACTATAACAATTCCTTTCAACAAAGGATTAACATTCTAGTACAAACTAGTAGGAGACAGGACAAATGTCTTCAGATCTAAACCTGCATCTTCTTTTACTTTTGCTTTGTGCATGAGGTCCTCCATTATCATCTAAAAAAAAAAACCAGCCTGGAGTGTTTGTTTAATGAGTAATTTTTTGTGGAATGCTTTTTGTACGAATAAAAGGTATCTTTCAAAACCTTTTTTATTTGAATAGAATTACAACTGAATTCAGCATCTCAACAATTATGTTAGGATTAAAGAATTTTATTAATACGGTGTTGAATTTGGAAAAATCAAATATATAACTTAATAAAAATAAAATTTCTTGTTATTCTTGAAAAGATGTGGAGCCTGGTTTTGTATCATCCATATAAGAAGGGTGAAGACAGAAGTAAGATTGAGTAACGTTATCTATCAAAATAATACAAGACACCTGCCACGTTCCTCTTGTTCTTTCTTTACATAATGAAGTAAAAAAAAATAAAAAACATAATTATTGAAAAATCGGAAAATGATTTTTAACATAAAAAGATTTTGATTCAGGAAATTTATCTTGAAAAAATGTTTATCAGTTTATCATTTAAAAATTAATTCTGTTATTTTTAACTCAATTATATTTCAATCCATTTAATCGGCAAATTATTTTTGTAAAGTGACTGATTCATTTGGTGTTGTCTTTTCACCTACCTAGACAATATTTCTGACATTTCTGTGGCCATTTGTTCCCTATAAAAAAATGATAAGTAAGCATAAATCCAATATATTAAATAAAAACATCCTTTATGACTGTAGTAGTCTCTTGACAACCTAACTGAAGCTAATCCAAGCACAGAAAATAAACAGATGCTAATTTTATGTAATAACCATTGCCATGTATGTATATATACACACACATACTTTTATATATATATAAATTTTGATTAATTATTATTATGAAATAAATCATATAGGAAGGGAAAAATGGCTGGTGAAAAATTTACACTAATTATAACAAACTTTAAATGAACATTATTAGATTTATTAGTTTACTATTAACTTGTATATTAAATATAAGCAAAGCAGGAGGTATAAATTTTTACAAATTACTTGTGTTGTATAGGTGCGGTCTAATAAAGATTATTATAGAAGCACTAGTGATAAGAGGACAGTATCAATTTCCTTCGAATTAATTGTGTTAGATTCTTTTCTATTAGCATATTTGAGTTGAAAAAATGAAATATCATACGCAGTCATTTGCGGCTTTGTTCCATTGGCTCTGAAAACAGAAGATATTTAAGTTAGTTAGAACTAATTAGCTACTTCCTAGTTAGCCTTCTAATGATCTGCAAGAAGAAAAGGTTGGTCATTTTATCACCCCCCTGCCACCACGCAGCCAGTGATTTATCAAAAAAAAATGCACAGATAAAAACAGGCAACTATTATTTAACTGTAACTTCTACTCAATTGTTAAACACATCTGTTAATATACACTTGTGTGCAGTAAATCCCTTATTACGTGTGCTTCTCAATCTTGGATAAATAATAAAATTCCACAAACCCCAAGTAGCCTAGCATAGTAAGCCAAGGCAGAACATCAGTAAAAGAGCTGAAACCGCTGCCAGAACAATGTGCCAGACTTTTTTTCTTTGACAAACATCAATGAGTATAATTCTAAAACAAAATACACCTGATTATGCTCCTGTAAATATTTCTAAGAAGGTAAATCATAGAATCATAGAATTGTTAAGGCTGGAAGGGACCTCCAGAGGTCATCTAGTCCAACCCCCCTGCACACGCAGGGTCACCTAGAGCACGTGGCACAGGACTGCGTCCAAGCAGGTTTTGCGGATGTCCAGAGAAGGAGACTCCACAACCTCTCTGGGCAGCCTGTTCCAGTGCTCTGTCACCCTCACTGTTAAAAAAAGATTTCCTTAAGTTCATGTGGAACTTCTGGTGCTTCAGTTTGTGGCCATTACCTCTAGTTCTGTTGGTGGCCACCAGTGAAAAGAGGCCAGCACCATCCTCCTCACTGCCTCCCTTGAGGTATTTGTATACACTGATGAGGTCCCCTCTCAGCCTTCTCTTCTCCAGGCTGAACACGCCCAGCTCCCTCAGCCTCTCCTCATAGGGCAGATGTTCCAGGCCCCTGATCATCCTTGTAGCCCTGCACTGGACTCTCTCCAGCAGCTCCACATCCCTCTTGTACTGTGGAGCCCAGAACAGGACTCAATTCTCCACATGCGGCCTCACCAGGGCTGAGTAGAGGGGCAGGATCACCTCCCTCGACCTGCTAGAGATGCTCTTCTTAATGCAGCCCAGGAT